CGGAGGGAGGGGAGCCCCTGCCGCCGCAGCTGGGCGGCCCTCGGCCCCGCGCCCGGGCGCCCACGCGTGACGTGCCGGACGGGCGTGGGGGAAGGTGACAGCTTCTGGCAGGGGAGCGGGCGCCTGGGAGCAGCTTTGGTTTTCCGAGCCTCAAAAGGCCTGAAAAGCACAGATGCCTCCGAAGAAATGTAAAGCTAATTCTAAACAACCAGCAGCTTGACTTTTTTTTTTTTTTAAAAAACAAAAATATAGTAACAATTCTTGGATCAGAAATCACGGTTGATGCTTTCATGTTTGCTGTATTTTCCATAGCACTGCAAAAGTAACCAGGCTTTTTGTGTTCTCTGTAGAGCCACTCTCTAATCCCAGGATGCACCTTATGAAAGCAAGCAGTGGAAAAGAAGGACCGTTCATGCAGTATAAACAACTGGGAACATGACTCCACTTGCATCAGTGCAAGATATACATACACTGTATCATAATATATCTCTCACTGTAGCAGAAGTAGTACTGTCCAGGTTTTTACCTGTGTCCCCTTTCTGTGTTGTAAAGGGTGCCTTAAAGGTCCTCAGACAGCTTGACTGGGCTTTTGTAATTAGTGCCTAAACATTTGTTAAGCAGAAATGAAAATATGTACTGTTTGAATAAAATCAACTGAAAGGACAAACTAGAGTGGCTGAGAATAAAATGCAGCTCTTATGTAGACTAAAGTTGGAACTCATACCCTTTCCCTCAATAGATGACATTTACCCAGCTGTTTTACTTTCAGAAAGTTAATCATGAGGGTTTGGTGCTGTTTGTTTTCTGTTACACCTTTATACCACAGCATGCATGAGATTCTAGTTTCAGCAGTTACTGTGCCTTCTGAAACATGCCCATGTTTAACAGCAGTAGCAGCCTGATGTCCTCACATGTTGGTTCAAATAAAACTTTGCTGTAAACAGTGAAGAGGCAAGCTTACAGGAACAGCCTTCTTGAGTAGCTTGCAGGTTACATGTAAAGTACCCTCTTCCATCTACCTTCCAGGGATAACTAATCAGACAGTAATAGGTAAGTGATAGGTTTCAGCTTCCACCTGTCCCATCAAAATTTCCTCTTATCTCACTATAGGTAGACTTACAAACCATGTTAAATCAAGTAGTGTCTTGCATTCTTAGGAGAGGTAAAAGGAAGCTAAGTATAAGGAGAGACTTTTTACCAGATGAGGCTTTGGGGAAGAGAATTTTCAACTGTAGGTGAAGGGGGTTCAGTTTTCTCAAGTATTCTTCCCTTGTGAATACTAGTTTCTAATTCTGAGAAGTACAATTTATGGTTGTTGGTTTTGTTTCAGGAATAATTATAATAAAACAGCTAGATTGCACAGACTTTGAGGTGTAGAGTGTTTCAGTGTCTTTAACACAAATGAAAACCAGCTACTATCAGGATAAATAGAATTTATGATGCAGAAGTGGGCATATGCTCTCTCCCTTTATTTTTCTTTCACTGCTAAAGACACTTTCCATTGACAGTGGCTTTCTTTACATATCAGACCTATGCTTTAAGAACAGAGATGCCTTTCTGTGCTACTATTTACGATCTTGGCTGCTGGTACCAACAAAAGTGATCGGTTTCAGAGTTCTGCACCATGAGTCAAGAAAAGCACCCAACTGTGATTTCATTTTCACAAACAGAAAAACGATGTTTCCAGTTTTTCAAATTAAGCTATTAAAGAGGCAAGTTCACACACAGCACTTTTTTTTTCCCCTCCTCTAACATGATTTCACTAGGAAAAACTCAAGGGAACAATCTATTAGGAAAGCACTGTAATGCTCCTCCTTTTCTCTTGGTAAGGAAGACATGTGAGACTAAGTCTTAATAGCCTTTAGAAAGTTAGGAAATTTCAAGGTATCTTTTAGTAATTTAGTTTTCTCCTTCAGCCAGATCTGACACACAAGGTTTTACTTATCACAGGAAACTTAAAGCTAATGAAGTGCAGGCTTGTGAGGCATCAGGCTGAAGCTATTTTGTGTCCTCCTGGATCACATGAATATATACATCAAGGCAAATTTCACTTATCCCTAACAGAGCAAAGGTAGTAAGGTACAAAGACAGCTTATGTAACTAATCAATCAGTTGTCACCAAGTCTGTGGGATTATGGTATTAAATATTAATTTCATAGGTATTTAGAAAACTAAACAGATTTAAAAGCAAAAAAGCAGCTAAACAGCTTTATAAACAGATACTTCAGAACATGAATTTTACTCTTCAGAAGAGATAACTGAACCACCATCTCTGCAGAACTTTCAACCATTAGGAGCAGTATTATCTGTCACCGTTTAAAAATGTCGTTCTGGAAAGCCAACTTTTTCCTAAAAAAACCTGTGTAATGCAGAAAGAACAGACGACAAAGATATTTTAAATTTTTATCTGATAGTTTTAACAAGCAGAACTTTGCATGAAAATAATTCTAAAGACTGAAAAATATATTAATTACAAGACTTGTTAATGTCTTTACTGTTACAAAAATTGTCTAGGCTCTTATATAAATCTATAGCCAGAAGGGGACATTTGTAAAAAAATAAATAGGCACCCTAGGTAAGTTAAAACAAGTTATCACATATTAGTTAGCATATATTACGTACATACATACATGGAGTGCAGAGTCAAATATAAAAACAAAGGTGCCTCGATTAGCTGTCTATTTACTATAATTAAATACCTGGTAAACATGGGCCACATAGAAAGTTGTCTGGTAAGATTGTTTGAAGCAAAGCAAGAAGACTGAAGTACACCTAAATTACTGCAGGTACTTTAAAAATAAGTTTACCAGTTGTGCTTACTGGAAGCCAAATTCATTGGTATCAGTAATAGGCATTCATATTGCTCATTGTACAGAAGTATGAACATTGCTATGGATGTTTAAAAAAGTGTTTTAACATCATTCACAGTTGTTGCTGTGCTATTCATACACAAAAATACTGTCATTTCAAATACAAGATTTTTGCAAAACATTTTACAAATTATACATTATTTACAAATTCCAATAATCTTTGTTTTTACACAAGTATTAGAAGACAGTTAACTGAGTATATAATGTAACATTGCTAGATAAACTAGAAAAGTTTAATTTACAAGCTCTCAAATCTCTCTCAAAAATATTACAGTAAGTTCCTACATTTTCATGGTTTTCTGTATTCAACCGATTTTCTTACAAAAGGATTATTTTTTTCAGTTGCTGTTTACCAGCAGCCACACCTAAACATGCATAATTATTTGCACTACAAATTCTAAAATTCTTTTTTCCAAGTGCTACAACAAATTTTGATCAACAAGGCAGAAAGAAGATTAATCTGAGATACCTGGTTTGTTGCATATATCATGTTCCAGTTCTACTGTAAGCTACATGTAGTTTAAAAAAAAAAAACTGACCTTGACACAGAATAACCAAAACTACTGTTTAAATGTATACCTTGGATAATAGTGCTAAACAATTGCCAACATTTGGTTGCAGCGCTAAAACTCACATAAAAAAAGCCTTTCTGACTAACAGTGCAAGTATAAGCAAGAGTGTTTATTATGCATATTTAACCTTCTTGCATTATTTTCATAACTAAAAGGCATTGATGTTCATATGTGATCGGCAGCACTCCCAAGTTACCACTAACACGAATAATGGCAAAAACTTAACCTTTTCAGATTGCGTGAGGCTTCACTGACATTAATTCTAAATTATACATTGTTCACTGTTATAAGACGGAAACAGAACTCTAAGCCCCTGCCTCTGACACCACAAGACACTGTGGGTGACTTCAAACACTCATGGCTGCAACAAAGGCAAAATCCCATTTGCCTTTTCCTCCCCAGCCCTCATTGGGCCATAATTCTATGCACTGATTTAACTAACCAAAAAGCCAATCAAATCCTCCTCTTTGTTACCAAAAGACATGGTAAATGCAAGAGCTGCCAAAACTACAGGGCAGACTGCTAGAGCAGAGAAAGAGAGGAACCTCTTCTCACGCCCCCTCAGCCATCTTGGTCCAAATGGCTGCAGGCTCAGCCAGCATGATCTGCTAATGTGGAACGTTATCCATGTCTAGAACTGCTTCAAACAGGAAAAAAAGTCATCAGTAAAATCAAGTGTCTGATCCCCATTAAACATTGCTCAAAATGTCAAGCTGAAAAAAGGAAGTTCAATAAATAGCAGCATTGGCTTTGCATGCAATTGCAGAATAAATCAGAACTGAACATAAGTAGTAAATACAACTAAACCTTTACAAAATTAACCTGTCATAGTTGCATGATAACTCTGTATTTTAAAATTAGCACACTATTCTGCTCTATCAGTTTGTAGCTTATATGGTTAGATTTAATTTTAATAAGTATATAGCTTATAGGGTGAACAAATCTGATGTGTTTTTAAATGCACACTAATGTAGAGCAGGTATATTAATAGGACAATCTATTATTGCAGTTTACTTGAATTCCCTTTTAAAATCTCATTTAACACTTGCAAACCAGAACCGTTTTTAAAGATTATTATTAAGGCTTTTCAAATAAAAAAGTTAGAAATTCTCTGGGTAAACTTGCATTAAAGACACTTGAAGGTTTGTGAAAGCACAGACTCAGAGAAATCTGTTGAAAAAAAACATGTCACCTCCTGCTACCCATCACAACAAATACTGCTCTATTATAACTACATTTACTGCACTATATATGATAATATGTTTATCTCTTTTGTTAGTCTAAGTATGTAGTGACCACAGTCTGAAGGAACACTTTTTAAACTGCATCTGATTAAATCTTCTTACAAAATTAGTAACATCTAGTTGATCCCCCTGCTGTAAAATGCATACACCCAAAGGGACCATTTTTAATATAAACTGTAGAAGACAAGTAACAGAGGTAAGCATTAAGGCAACTAGAGTAACAAATCGAAGAACCAGAAGTTTAGCACCTCTTCTCCTCTGTTCAAGGCCTTCTGTTGCATATTCATTTAAACAGTTGTAACTCCTAAGCAAAGTACAGTCAACTGGGTACCTAGTTATCACACACACATATCCAAGGTTTGGGCCCATGAAATGCTGAAGTCAGAAATAGGTTGGTTGGTTTATTTTTTAAATAATCTATCTACTGCAGTGTATGCCTTCTATGTTTGCTTTGTACCTTTGCTCAGACGTGGGATGTCTGGACTCAACAGTAGCATGGTATGTAGCATTCAGTTCTACTCCAGCTGATGGAGGATGCTTTTCTCTGTGAAAGCTTCCACTATCTGTAAAATACAGCTTGGGTCTCTGATGATATTTCATCCTGTATGTATCAGTCATACAACTATCTACTGAAAAATATGTTGTTAGGGACACACCATCATTTCCATCGACATAGCCAGCACTTGGTCCCATATGACGAGATCCTTTCTTTAGTAAGTTTTCTGACACAGTCCAAAAGTCATTAACTGATAAGCAAGGTGGAGAATCTGGTTTATGAACAAACAGTTCATTCCCTTGAAAGGGCTCTTTAAACCTTTGTTCATTTGTAAATAAACTTACTTCTGCAGCAGATTTTAATGGTGTACCTGTTTGCCTTATAAGATTATTTTGCAACGCTTCTGTCGATTTTACATCAGCTGTCGAGTTATTTTCTGATCCTGGCAAAGTATTCAGAGCATATTTCTTTGGGGGTAAAGGGGGAGGAAGATTCTGGTACACTGCTTCAGGCACCCAAAGAGCATCCGCCCTTCGGAGTGGGTGCCCAGCAAGCTCACCAGGAGGGTGAAGCACCGTGGGCCTTTCTGATGGGTTCTGTGGCACACAAGGTGACCACCCCACCTTGGGACCAAACGTTCTTGCGTGATGAGACTGGGGCTGGGCAAAGGAGTGAAAGTCATTATTGATCGGCTTCCTTCCACAGACATTTTCTGTATAGGGGTGGGATACACCGTCAGCGCAATATATTGACACATTCATCTTCTCATACTTCTCTGGTTGAAGCCACTCTGAAGAATTCTGGTCGCTTGCCTTGTTCCTACTTTCTGACTTAACAATATCTTTAAGAACTGGCTGTAGAGCTGATGATGGGAAAATTTTCCTATTGGTCTCAGCCATTTCAGCTCTAAAATACAAAAACACAGAGGACTTAAGTATCCATAAAAACAAGAAAAAGCCCAAATAACCCAAGGATTTTTTTCAATGACAGCCTTGGTAACACTGTTTAAATATTCAAACTGATTAGAGCTTAACATAAATCCACTTGATAAAAAGTGGTATTAAATCACACTCAAGGTTTCATTCACTTGAAATGTAAAGTGCCCCAAACAATCTCTTGCAGAGATTTAATATCTGTAAGGTAAGATAAACTCCTTCAATATTCAGGACTATATCAAACATGACTTCTGCTCTCTTCTACGCATCCCTGTGACTCAGTCTAATACATATACTTCTCAAATATTAGATGTTACTTTTGAGTGCTAAACTTGTTATTTAAAAGATTCTTGACATTTAGGAGGTACTGAGCACTTACAGTTCAAGTTAGAAACAACGCTATATAGCAGCAGCTTCTAAACAGAAGTTACCTCTTCCTCACCTTCCAGCCAAACTTTTCAAAACTTTATGGGGTTATAACGCTAACCATGAACTGGTTGACCACTGTCTGTTGTATACAAATTCAGAACAGAAAACTATTAGAACCCATTGTTTTAAACCATCTTACCAGATCAGTGTAAGATATTTGGTTCCACTGGCAGTATCAAAATTAAAATCACTGCCTGTTGTAGTATAGAAATTCAAAACAGAAAAATATTAAAACCCTTTACTCTGGTAAGCTGGTTTAAAACAAGGCAGCAGTTACCTGCTTAAAGACAGAGAGCATTTTAGCCCTATCAATTATGTAAAATGCAAAAGGCATTGTCTGTGGAAAATATTCAATACTTTAAATTTTGCATGATTAATATTGATCACTATCACATAACAGAATTCAGTAATTCTCAAACAACTACATAGTAAATTAATGCCAGTATTAAGTACCTCTTTACTGGAAGACTGGGCACCTGCAAATGTAATTCTGTTGGGAAATTAACATGAGGTCTGTAGTTAACTTCTGAATTGATCTGGTCTTTCCTGAAATCTGGGGGGTAGAAAAAAAATATTTCAAAATAAGCAGAAATACAATCCAAGTCCTTCTTTGTAATTCCTCAGAGATAACAAAACCAAACACAACACAACAGGACAATTAATTCTTTTCAAGATTTGACATTGATTAAAATAACCATTTTTAAGTTAATCTGTCACAGAACATCAGATCTTATATTCATCCAAAAAATAATCTGTAAGAAATACGTAATTACCACAATTTTGAAGTCCTACAGACATGTTTTCAATATAATCTTTTCATCTAATTAAAAGCACATTTTCAAAAGCATGTTTATTCAAACATCCAAAGTCATTTAAATTCCAAAATAAGAACTGTTTATGATTTTTGAAATGTCACATCATGTACTAATAGTTAAATGAAATGAATACTGCAGGGATTGGGGGGTGGTTTTGGGTTTTGTTATTGTTTGTGGGTTGTTTGGCATGGGTTGTTTTTTGTTGGTGTTTTGTTTTGGGGTTTTTTGTTGTTTTGGGGTTTTTGTTGGTTTTTTTCCAAGAAATGCATTATGCATTCTTTGAAACAGATTTAAAAACTTACAGCAAACTGTACAGTTTGTAGACATGCTGAGCAGAGTGAGAGCACTCTCAGTCATGTGCCCGAAACACACAACATGAGAGCGCCTGGGCGAGCACTAATACCCTCACAGTCTAGAATTCCTTTTCACATACAAAGGCAAAGACTCATTCTCTAAATAAACACACCATTTCTGAACAACGCAGCTCCTAGTTAACAGTAAATAAAGGAAGCATTGAAGAATCCGTGTCATCAACACCACACAGATTAAAATGCTCTCTTGGTAAGTGACAAGCAGCAGTATATTTCTTTAGAGATAGATATTAACAGTATATTTGTTTAGAGATAGATATTAGTAGTCTCACTTAATGCAATGACTGGCCCCTTATAAACAGTCACCTGCTCTGAAGCCAAAGTCAGTCTTATTTTATGTACATATAGACTAGATTCATATAACTACTATACTTATTTCAGAAAAACAGGAATTAAAATATGGCAGCATACATTGCCTGATTTCTAGTAGAATGATCTCATGTTCAATAGACAGTAACTTTGAAAATTTCTAATGGGATAACATAGGCCATTCCATAGTTTCTTCAACAAAAGCTACAAATTTTCTATCTATTCTTAAACAATGTAATCTTACCAAGGTAATTTTTTTTAAAACTTGTTATTTCCACAACTTTAAATAAAGTCTTGGAATTTTTGACTCGTGAACATGAGAGTCAAAAACCCAACAACAGAAAAGAACTAAAGTAAAAACTCTGGGTGATGCTGTTGGTTGCCAATTGTTTTGAGGATATCTACCCTATCTTTAATTGATGAAAGACTGAAGACACCAAATCTGACAAAGGACACAGGTTGTAGAGGCTATAACGGCATACAGTACAAGAGACAAAGCCCCCATATGGCTTTCCTTTGAGACTCGAAATGAAAAAAATTAACAAAAAATTCTTCCTATTCTGGCATGGTAATATCACAACCCGAGAAAGAATACTTAGGGAAAAATAATGTTATTGAATGATCCCCATGTGACACTGGCAAGGGACAAGTAATTAACCTGAAAGTTCAATACTGCTCCAGTGGGGCATGGCATCAGAGCTAACACTGAGGTAATATTTCAAGAGAAAACATCTCATTCTGCTACAGATTTTAATGAACCATAAATCACTTTACTGAAAAATAAGCACAGACTCTGATATATTATTTCCTGTAAACATTTCCAATTCAGTATTTAAACTCAGTCCAAATGTCTGGATACCTAGGAATCGATAAATTAAATAATTTGATAGATTAACAGTGTCTGAAGCTAGTGATTTTAACTTTTGGACTTTGAATATATCAAACAAGAGCACATCTGCTTAAAGAAAAAAAAAAAAATCACAAATAAGTGGCCCATGCAACTGCTTTTCCCCAAACTGCCTGATGTGAAGATTACAAATCTTTTTTTTTTTTTTTTTTTTTTTTTTTTTTTTACAAGTCAGTCAGGAGGCGGCAGCAAAAGTTAATAAACTCTGTCCTTGGAGAGACCGTGATACACATTCAGCCAAAGCCACTCAGCCATACCAGGTGGTTTGTGCCTTCACAATTCCAGCTAACTTAAAAATAGATGTGTTATTTTCTCTTCTGCTGACAGGATCTCCATGCATGGTTAAAACCAGACGCAGACTCGATTGGGAATTTTGGCTCTATGTTGTTTGCAAACCTAAATATGGGACACACAATCACTGCTCAGCTGGAGACTCACATCCTTATCAATGGGTCATAAAAAGCTTACCAATAAATTAAATGTAACTATTTTCTGACACACAAACCAGTCTGCTTTTAAGATTTATGAACATCTATTTTCACACCTGAATAGCCAATCTAATCTAGGTTTTCAAAAGATTAACAGCCATTCTATAGCCAACAGCTAGGACAGACAAGTCCTCTAACATCTCTGCTTACACATACAGAACATTTAGAAAAATGGGGGGGCAGGTGAAGAGAAAAAAACAACAAAACAAAATGCCCACATTAAATTCAATTTCTTTCTAATGTGTTTTAGTTGCACACTTCCTCTACTTTTGATTACCTGATTTGTATTTTTTTTTAATTGCCAATAAAAAGCCAAGCTGTAATACTTTTTGTAGTAAGTACTGTGGCAGATGCCCCTCTCAGTACCCAGACATTTTTCCATATTCAGTTGAAACAACAGATAAACTCACTGGAAGCTTTGGAAATGCGGAATGACAACATAGTCCCAGTGAAGAAAGTAAACATATAATAACTTGTCCACAATAGAATGTAATTTTAAAGAAAACAGTGCCCATTTTCAGAAAAAAATCCTTATATTTGAGAAACTGTCCTTTTGGAACAACATTCAGTTGCAAAAGATTTCTTATACATTCGTTAGTGGATTTTTTTCCCATGTCTTACACATCTGTATAAAATGAAGTTCTGCTGCCTTTTTTTTGGGGGGGGGGGAAAGAAGAAACATTGCACAAATGTTTTAAGAAGTTATCATGTTTCCTTGGCACACAAAAAAATCAAAGTGAAACCTTAATGTGGTTAATGGGCTTGTTTGGTACCTTGTTGGCCACTGTTTCCCATGGAAGTCATTTCCTGGGTCTCAAACAGTGGGAATACATTTCATCAATGTTAATCATAATTTAAGGCAGCAAGCAGGAAATTATTTAAATAGTCTATTATACTGGTGCTTTACTGATTGCATTTTTTGTTTTGTTTTGGTTTGGTTTTTTCCCCTGAAGAATTCTAAACAGTTGCTATCATTTCATGCCAAGAGAATAAATTACGTCAGGCATGTTTTTCACAGTTAGAAAACTTGGTACGTTTATTCAGGTTTTCCTTTTTTTTTTTTTTTTT